CCCAAACTCTTTTTCTCCCCTGATACCAAAAACTATTAGACTCATTCCTTAGCCTGTGCAGCATCTGCCGTGCCAACCCTGGGAAGAGGCCACAGTACTTCTCTCCTGCTCATGGGCTACGTCACTAGCAAAGGTCCAGGCGCACAGGAGCTGGTGTCACAGAAACGTCAAGGTTTCCTGCAGTTCGAGAACGCTTCCTTTAGCTCTGAGTCCCTGTGACTCTCCCACAGGGTCTTTTCTACTCACTTTAAATCCTAGATCCTAAGTTGGACTGGGAAGAGTACCTGTTCTGGAGCCAGAAAGTTCTGGGTTTAGAACCTGGCTGTGCTCATTCAGAAAGTGCACCCAACTTTGAGCCTTAGTCTCATCACTAAAAAAGGGAACAATCATTTATAAATCCCCACCTCAGAGGTACTGGGTGACCCCATACTCTATTTAGACTGCCCCCAGCCACCAAACACTGGCACGTCACACTCCTCTGTCAGCTCAGCTCAACCCACTGCTAGAACAATTACAAAGAATGACACGAAGATGAAACTGTCAGTTATGAACCTGTGAGCGTACGTTGACCCTAAGAACACACCTTCATAGACACTACATTCTCTAGAACATTCACTGCCAGGAACACATCCTACCTCTGTCCCCCTCCAGCCCGAAGGTACGTCTATAGCATATGCTGCCTCCTCAGCCAGGATGTCCCACAGATGCCAGCTGCTGTCCTCGCAGCGCCCCACCCTCCTCTCGCGATGTCCTCACCGAGACGACCACAGGACATGCGCTTTGTCCACGTCACTCCTCCATCCAAGCTGTAGCGGCCATACTCTCTCTCACTTCCGTGGCCTTTGGCCATGCTGCTTCCTCTGCCCTTCCCACAAGACCACTCCTGGGACTTGGACACCTAGCTCAAGTGTAACTTACTTCAACAAACCTTCCCAGGCCCCCAGATGCCCTCTGGTAACACTGTCCCCACTCAAACTGTATCTCCAGGCCCTGGAGGGCAGGCTCTGACTTGGTCCAGGTTTGCCCTGCCCCTTCCTAGTGCCTGGAATGGTGTTTTCCAGACAATAGATGTTTATTCAGTGTTTGTTGACTGACTGCGTGAAATAATGACTCAGTGACTGAGGGAGCTGGATTTAGACATACTGACTTTGAACTCGCGGAGGGACAACCAGTAGAGCTGTCCATCACCCAGTTCAGAAAGGGGGTCAGGACTAAAGACGTCCATTTGGCAGGTAGAGTCACTAAAGAGATATCTGAAGCCTTGGGGCTCACCAAAAAAGGATGTGCCGAGAGAAGAAAAAGGCTAAGGTGGCACATTTCAGGGGCAGAAGAAGGCAGTGCAGCTCACCCGAGATTATGATTCAAGGATGAATCATAGAAAGGAGAAGAAATCCAAAGGAATACAGTCCCAGGAAATCAAAAAAAGAGAGTTTTGAGAAACATCTCCAGTGGCATTACTGTTGCAAAATGACAGAAGAGAGTGAGGTGTGCAGGTGGCCGCTGTGCGTGGCGATTCGGAAACTCTCGGTGACCCCCTAGCAAGTCAGGTGCTGGGGAAGAGGCGGGGCTGGGGGGGCTGAGGTCTGAGTACGAAGGACAAGAAGTATAAGACTATTCTCTCAAGAGGCTGGACAGAGGAAGGAGAGAATCACAGTGCCAAGCGAGCGTGGAAGCAGCTGTGAATATAAAATAACAGAGAAAAGGGAGGCTCAGCGGGTAAAGCGCTGGACCGATTTACAAACGTTATCACTGCCCCAACCTAGCGGCAGGGTGGTGGCAGAGCGGACATGGGTGCTAAACGACTCTGTGGCTCACCCACCTGCGAGATCTTGGGGAAGTCACTTCCTTCTCCCTTAGCTAACTCATTAGATTGTTCTAATCATATGAATTAATAAGCGAAAAGGAATTTTGAAGAGTTTATCACTCTTTACAAAGTAAGGTCCTATCACTGCAACAGATGATTTGTTATCGTAACAGATGTTTGTCATTTTTCATTTTCTGTCGTCAGAGAGAAGTTGAAACTCCCTCCTATGTAATGCTGATACTGACTCCGTTTCCTGCAAAGAGGGGGAAGACAGCGGCAAAGATACAGAAAAAAGCAGGGCAAAGTCAGGGTACACAGAGTCAAGGCAGTGACGGCATCCCCTCCAACTCCTTCCTACAGATCTGTCATTTTCCTACACTGGGGGACATCAGTCCAGGGCCATGCCCTCCCCCCAGGTGGGTGGAGAACTGCCAGGATCTCACACCAAAACTGAGTGCCTGAGCCCTGTCAACCTGCTTCTGCCTCGGCAGGGACCTCAAGGGGCCTGGTCAGTGACAGGCTTGAACAGAATCATCACTGACCTCGTGACTGTCTTGAAAAATAAAATAAAACGGTGTACTGAGATAAAGTTTATTTATAGCTCCTTGGTTATCTTGTTTTGGGTTCCCCCGCCCAAGAAAATGTTCCAAGTTCAATGGTGATTTTCCATACTCAAACCATGTCCTGGAGACTTTCCACGTAGAAGGGGCGACTGCTTCTGAGCATTATCATGGCCAGAGGCAGTGTAGTATTTCCTCAAAACACTTGCGAGCGGAATACAGTATCACACTGAAGGCGTATTTGCAAGAGGAGATAAATTTGCAGATCACAGGTGGCATATCAAAGTCATGGAAGCTACTAAAAAAATACAGGGAGAAACTAGCAGAAGTCTTCAGTTAAAGCAGCTCTCTATGGCCTTCCTCCACAAAGCAGAATTTATTGTATCATTCAATGGGAAGAAATGGTAAACAGTAATTTAAATTGGTAAACAGTAATGGTAAACAGTAATTTAAATCGTTTAACAGTAACAGTAATGGTAAACAGTAATGGTAAACAGTAATTTAAATCGTTTAAATACAGACGACTTTTTAATACAAAAGTCGTCTGTATTTACCTTTAGGATGCACTGTGGGTTTTGTTTTCATCTTTCCAATTGTGTTTGGCTTAGAGAAACATTAAAATTAATTTTCATCCCACAAGCACAGCTGGACAGACTATTCAGATGCCTCTTCTAGTGAAAGAAACTAACAAATTACAAGAGGAAATCCATATGCAGAAATGTTCACTGTACTTTTACAAAATGAAACTGTCCTTATTGACAACATTCATATGCTCAGAGGAAGAAAAACAGGACCGGTAAGAAAACACAGGAGCATTAAGATCTATCAGAGCAGCGTGATAAGGGTCAAAAGAAGAATGTGGGCTTGTAGGTGGAAGGTTCACCACTATTAACAAAAGTCAGTCTGCTCTACTGAAATCAAGCAAAATCATTAGGGAGATTTCGGAGAAAACCAAGCCTTCCTTCCAAAGAAGTGAGATAATGCTGTAACAAAGCAAATATATGAGATACTCATTAATGCCTTTATAATCCTCACAAACACATGAGTGACCCAGTAGCCAGTTCTGATGTATATGTGATGGAGGAGGGAGAATGAACAACGGGAGCAAAGGACTCTTTCTAGTACTGATGCAACCACTTTGTTAATTCAGTGGATATTTACTGAGTGCCTACTATATGTCAGGCTCTGTTCCCTAGTCTGAGGATACCGCAGTAAACAAAACAGACAAAAGTCTCTGCCCATATGGAGCTTCTAACATGGTGAAGGATTTAAGACATGTGACTTTGGGCAAGACATGTACTTGGATGACTAAAGGGTATCTTATGGAGAAGCCAGGAAGGAGAAGGACTGCCAATAAAAACTGAATACAACACAAACACACATATAATAATAGAAAATGAAACTTATTGATGACAGATAGTGACACTGAATATATAAGGAGAGAGCACATTCTCACAATTTGAAATTATCTTTGCTAAAATCGAACCCCAGCAATTACTTTCCTCTGATGTGGCCTTAAAGGACTGTATGTTTGAACCAAAAAAAAAAAAAAAAAGGGGGGGGGGGGGTCTTAAATAATGATCATCGCTATTCGATGGCCTGGGATGTAACCATGATACGCAACCAAAAAAATCCAGACCAACAGACTAGTTTCTACCGGGTAAAAACGTAAAAACAGAAGCAAATTTACAGACAAACTCTCTATCTGGAAATATATGCCAGGAATGGGAAAAAAAAGAAGTAATGATTACAGCAAAGGAGTTACTGCAAATATGGAAACAGGGTTATTAAACTAAATTTAGGAAGTTATCTCAGCACGTGGGGTAGTTGCACATATTTAGGTCAACAATTTGCTGATACGTGATTCTGCCATTTTTCCAGTCAACTCAAAGGCGTAAATAGTGTCTATTTGCCGTGTAACTAGGCGATTTCAATTCTAACAGATTAATGGAATACTCCTGGCAAGCGGATTCCACTCTTTGAAGGCGGCATATTAAATAAATAAATGTACAAAAGCAAGGTAAACAAAAACGCATGCAGACACAATGCAAATACCGGAGGGAGACACAAGACTTGCAGTGGAAACGCTCCAGGTCATCAGTTTCTGTCCACTGGAAAAAAAAAAATCTAAGAACCTCACCATCTAGAGGCTTAGAACACACGCTCGACCACCCCAGTTTTCCATGGCTGTCCACCAGGAAGGGAAAAGGAGCCCCGGCGGTTCCCCTTAGGCCCAGTTCAGGACCCAGAGGGCGAGTCCCCTCGCTTTGGACGGGGATGGGGGTGGGGCTGGCAGGTACACCTGAGCCTAAGTCAGTCACAGGTCCGAAGCCCAGGAACTCCAGCCAGAGAGCAAAACGCCAAGTTTACAAAGACGGTGGAGGGACGGGGCCGGAGAAACCACAGCGAGTCCAATCAGTGGGACGGGACAGCCGCACGGCGCTGGGGACCCACCGAGCCGTCTCCACTGCTCGCAAGGCGACTGCCCGAGCCCCCGGGCCCGGGGCCTTCGCGTCCCCGGAACTCACGAGCCGGTCTGCGCGGCCTGGGGGGGAGGGCGTAGTTCCCGGGAAACCCTCCCGCCCTCTCCCATCAACCCCGCCCATCGGTCCGCCCCGTCCCGCCCGGCTACTCACCGGATTCGCTTCCCACATAACGGTGGCGAAATCGAGCGGAGAGAGCCTGGCGGAAGGGGCTGGCCACAGGGTCGGGGTGCTGGGTTTTTCCCGAGGGCCCAGGGAGCGAAAGAACGGAGAGACAACCTCCACGCAAGCCTCCCCGTCATAAACCGGCGTCTTCGGACCCCCTCGAACCTCCCGACTTCCGGCCGAAGCCGGCCAACCAGCGCCAGCCCCGCCCCGCCCCGCCCCCGGAAGCTCGCCCCCGCCAGTGCCTCTCCCTTCCGGCCTCGGCGCGGAGTGGGCGGGGCCTGCGAGGGTCTGGGTTGTAATGCGGTTGTTAAAGGGCTACCAGCCCAGCCACCCTCCAGGGCTGCGTCCCTCCAGCAAAGTCCCCTCCAAGTGATCCTCAAGCCTCGATATTTATTGATGACCTCCGATATTTATTGATCACCGTATAGGGAGTGTAGTGGCCAAGAGGCAGACAGGCCTGGGAATTAATAGCCTGTGGGACAAGCTTCCGACTCGGTTTCCTCGTGCTCAGAGGTGATAATAATAGTATCTAAGCGTGTAGTGTGCTCATTGAAGGCACCTAGCATGGTGTTTGGTATACAGGAAGTGCTCAATGAGTGACGGTTATTTGCCAGATACTGACACTGTGCTAGGCTCTGCAATGAGCAAGTGACCCATATGCAGTCCTCATGGAGCTTAGAGTCTAGAGAAAAAAGTAAGAAGTAATTTAGATAAAATTAAAAGGTGCAGGATGGTCTACAGGTAGTATGGCAAGTACAGGGTTCTTTGAGAGGGTGCCTACCTAGGACAGGGTGTCTGCCGCCCCCCAATCCAACCCCCCCACCAAGAGGTTTAAGCCAAAACTTCAAGGATGCCCTCCTATTGAAGTTACCTGAGCTACAAGAGGGGAAGAATCTTCCAGGCAAAGAAGCACCATCTACCCATAGGAAATGAAAAGGGAACAGTTTAAGCTCCTTCTGAATTTTTCTATGCCTCCACACATTAAAATTTTTTTACTTGATCAAAGAATACCTACAGACTTTTTCACCTACTATGATATAGCTATCCTTCATTCCAATATGTAGAGTAATTCTATTTCAAAGTAGTGGGGAAAGAAAGGATTATTCGAGAAGTGATACTGGGGCAACTGGTTTAGCATTTGGCAAAAATTAAAGAGGGGAAAAAAAAAAGATAAAGTGAAGATCCCTATCCCAATCCATTTACCAGAATAAATTAGAGAGTGCAAATTGTTTTTCTTTAAGGATTTATTTATTTATTTTTGGCTGTGTTGGGTCTTAGTTGCTCACACACTATTCTTTTTTTTTTTTTTTTTTTTTGCAGTACGCGGGGCCTCTCACTGTTGTGGCCTCTTCCGTTGTGGAGCACAGGCTCCGGATGCGCAGGCTCAGCAGCCGTGGCTCATGGGCCCAGCCGCTCCGCGGCATGTGGGATCTTCCCGGACCGGGGCACGAACCCGTGTCGCCTGCATCGGCAGGCGGACTCTCAACCACTGTGCCACCAGGGAAGCCCAACACACACTATTCTTGAGTCTAGTTTGGCATTATGTATCAAAATTTGAAATTTCCATAATCTTTTATTAAACAATTCCATTTCTAGGAACTAATTTCAAGGAGGTAAATAGACAAATGTATACAATAATCTGTACAAGAATGTTTATTGCTGTATTTTTTGGAATAGTAAAAAATTGAAAACTACTTAACTATCACAGTGGATTATTTCAAGTGTATATGTGTGTAACATGCGTACAAGCTATGAAATGCTATGTGTATCTTACATCCTACCACGCTGAAAATGTCTTATTAGTTTTAATAGCTTGTCAGCCAATCTCTCTGCAATTTCTGTGTTAACAATCACATCACCTACAAATAATGCAGTTTTCACTCTTAGTATTGCATTGGCCAAAATTTCAGAAAATTTTTGAAGAATGCAGGACAAGGTAATGAGCATTCAGTTTTTAGTTAGGTATGGTAAACGTTTGCCCCTGGTTGGTGCTAGATATATATATATTTTTTTTGGCTGTGTTGGGTCTTTGTTGCTGCGCGGGTTTTCTCTTGTTGCGGTGAGCCGGGGCTACTCTTCATTGCGCGGGCTTCTCATTGCTGTGGCTTCTCTTCTTGAAGAGCACAGGCTCTAGGCATGCGGGCTTCAGTAGTTGTGGCTCGTGGGCTCTAGAGCGCAGGCTCAGTAGTTGTGGCGCACAGGCTTAGTTGCTCCGCAGCATGTGGGATCTTCCCAGACCAGGGCTTGAACCCGTGTTCCCTGCATTGACAGGCGGATTCTTAACCACTGCACCACCAGGGAAGCCCCTAGATATTCTTTAAATACACTATCATCTTTAAAGAAATTCCTTTCTATTCCTAGTTCACTATAAGCTTTTAATTGGGAAAGGATGTTAAATTTATCAACTGTCTCTTGAGCTCTATCACTATATTCCTTTTTTATTCTGACTCATTAATATAATGAACTATACTAGTAGGTTTTCTAATGTTCAACCCATCCTTAACTTCTTGAAATAAACTCTGCTTAGTCACATATTCATTATTCTTTGAAAAAACTGCTGCATTCAATTTGTTAATCTTTTATTTAGGAATAAAATTTATTTATAAGTCATGAAATGGATCCATTGTTATCGGTGGGTTTTGGTGATTGTCTTTAAGTTTTGCAAAGTGAACAGTGCAATTTAAATAATTTAGGAACTAGCTCTTCTTCGAAGGTGGAGTGGATTTTTACAAAGCAAGTTTAATTGGAAAGATTAGGATGAAGTCCTTAACTTTTTGGGGCGGTTGGAGCTATACTTCATTTCCTTGAAGCCTTGGGGTTGCCTGGGCTGGTGGTCAGAGAGGGAGATGGAGAGAACACAGCTGACGTGGATATATATCTCAGGTGGATATGTTTTTAAAATGTACTGCCATATCCCTAATATGAAGAGAACACATTTCATAAACTGAAAAGAGCTGTGAAAAGTCTGGTAATTATCTTTATTCTTATTATTCTGGATTTATGACCACTGTTAGAGAGCAAGTGTGGGAAGGGACCTTAGATCCTTTAGTCCAGGGGTCACAAACAGAGCTAATGAGCTTTAGCCCACAAAGTATTTTAAAAGTTTTGATAAGTGCCCACCATTTTAAAACTGGGAAATTTCACATTAAATAATGTGTTTCTCCAGCTTCCCTTACACACCATCCTCCTGTGCCAACGACTGGTCATACTGACCCCTTTGGACTGGGAACGGGTTCTTAGCTTTACCTGAGTTACCTGACCTGTATCTCTTTTCCTTGTTTAAATTACCTTCCTGGGCCCCTTAGGTATTTGGGTTCATAACTGATGATAATTTTGCTGAAGAAGTGGAATGGATCTGGGACTTTCTAGAATGTTCTCATAGGAAACAACGTTATACACTTTCCCATAACTTTTTCCAGGGAGGGTTCAGACATGGGGCTCAGCCTCTCATGGTCTTCCAAGAGATGACTCTCTGTGACACGGTCTGGGGCTGGGACGGCTTCCCTCTGCATCATCGTTCCAGGCTAAGTGCCACAGCTGTAGAAACTATGCATCCTGACCACGGTCACTAGTTTTCTCAGGAAAGCCAGACAAATAGAAGACATTTTCCTTTATCTTTCATGTGTCCTGTGTGTGTTCTGGGTGATGATAACTTAAACTATGCTAAACCCAGCCCAGGGACCCTGAGGGATGGCAGCCTCCCTCACACCTGGTTGAGTTGATTAGATCTTGGAATGCTAGGAGAGCAGGGAGGAATTGCCCAAGGGGAAAGGAGAGGGGGGGAAATGGAGCAGAAGAGACCTATCTTATGTCTGGAAAGCAAGAAAATAATCAGATGGAGAAAACACGCAGATGAAAGAAGAGAATGGCAAGGTCAATTTGTGTGTGTGGGGGGGAATTCTACCTCCTCTAAGACAACAGAAAGAGAAAAAAGAACCAAGTAACTGGTGAGATGCATTATATAGTATTATCTATTTTAAAAATGTTATTTTCATAATTGTTTTTATTTTTAACGGCCACATGGACAGCCAGAAATGGAAGGGGCTAGCTAGGAATGTATATGGGGGACAGGCTGTTTTCGACAGAAAGGGGGAAGCAGGAGACGAGAAGAGGCACAGGGAGAGATGAGGGGCCGCGAGGGGGTCCAGGAGTGAGGGAGAAAAAGCTGCATTTGTGCCCATCGGTCCTGAATATAAAGACCCAGCCTCAGTCTGAAAAAGAGCCAACAGTGAGGCAGCGCCAGAATCAGCCCTGCTGCTGGAGTCTGACAGTTAACAACTCCAGCAGGAATTAAGAGGTGAGATAAGCAGATGAAACATTTGCTGAAGCCGAGATAAGCGTCCCTAGGAAGGAATTTTTTTTTTTCAAAAAATCAGAATGAATCCTGTAAATCTTCCTAATTAGGAAACAGGACAAGGAATTAAATTCAACTGAAAAAAAAAAAATGAAGTGCTAACTAATTCACTCATACTGAACGGAAAGGCTCTCTTGCAAATACCACTGATGATTAGTTTTTGCTGCTGGGTGTGGGGGGGCGGCGGGGGGTGGGGTGGGGAAGATGTAGACATCAACATGCAGCTCACAGCACAGTCCAAAGCGGCAGCTGAGATGTGTGGCCATCCTAATTAGAGGATGGAGAACTCTGAAAAGGCTCTCGGGCTGTGACATTCCTGGCTGGTGCTTTCCTTCCAGGAATGCCACTCTAGGGTTTTGGTCATCGTATTGTCAAAAAGAACTTAATAGGAATGATCTGGAAAGAGAGAACAGAAACGACTTAGCGTTTGAGAAGCTTCAAGGTGAGAAGCGGGAAGCAGGAAAGCACGTCAACAGGATATCATTTTTAAAATTAGGAGAGAGGGAGGCAAGTACAAGCCCTGAGTGGTGGAAAGGGCGGCTGGAGGGTGTCCCGCCTGCGCTTGGGTCACTAGGAGAGAGGGAGGCAAGTACAAGCCCTGAGTGGTGGAAAGGGCAGCTGGAGGGTGTCCCACCTGCGCTTGGGTCACTGCAGACATTCCTAAGAATCACATCCAGGGAGGTCAGGAAACCACAGCAGATTATCTAATATGAGTTGCTCTTCGGTTCTTCATTCAGCAAATATTTAGCAAGCTCCCTCAATGTTCCAGGCACTGTCCCCAGCTTCCTAGGCTGTATCAGTGAACAAA